CACTCACCTCAGCCTCCCAAGGCATGGGATTACAGGCTGAGCCACCGAGCCCGGCTTACATTTTTTTTAATTTAAAAAAATTGTAGTATCTATCCATTCTTAAAATGTTTATTAAGTACCTTCTATATACAGTCACTGTGCTTCATGCTAGTGGTGCAGAGATGCCCTGTGATATATCAAAAGAAATATGAGTTTCTTCCAGGGCTTGACTCTGCCCTGTGCTACATGCTGGGCATGTGACCTCGGGCGGTTTACTTTTCTCTCTGAGTCTTAGTTTCCTCATCTGTAAAATGGGATAGTAGCACAAATCTCCCAGCCATGAAAGGATTTAAGTAGATGATGCATGGAAAGGGTCTGGCACACACAGAAATCTCTGAGTCACTCTTGGTTACCCACCTGTCCTTCATCTCTGCCAAGCCCATGGAAAGCATCACCCCGGCCCAGAAACCCACACTTGGCACTATGTTCCTGGTCCCCACATTCTCGAACTGAACTTCAAAATATGTATGTACACTTTCTGACCCTGTCTGTGCTTCATGCCAAACCATCAGCTGAAGCCACGGAGCAGCTTGCAAAATGACTCTTGCCAGGATAAATAGGCATTGGCCATCATAGAATTGGTGCCAGGACTGGGGACAGAGCTTAGGCCACTGGCACAGAAGCCTGCCATTTGTCCCTGCTCCTTGCCATCAGCATGTAGGCCGGGACACATGGCGCTGACCATGAGAGGATGGTGGGGAGGTGAGGGAAGGGATGGCTGGGCCTGGGTATGGAGCTGGTCCTCAGAAAAAGCGTCCATGAGGCTCTGGAGAGGGCAGTGCAGCCTTCTCCCTGCCCACCCTAGCCAGCCTCTGCTTGCCGACAGTCAGACAGTTGCCTGCCAGCCAGCCTGAGCTTAGTCTTGGGTGGGAAAAATACCTTTTGAAGGGATTCAGAAATGTTCCCTTTGGCAGCTAAAGAACCTCCGCTCCTGCTGAGCGTGTGGGTGGAGGAGGGATGAGGGGGCAGTTTGGCTTGCAGCAGAGGATTTGGGGCTGCGGGGGAAGGGAAAGTCGCCTGGAGAGGCAGAATTCTTGGACTTTCTCTATTGTTTCGTCATCATCTTTCTTACTTTCTCCTGCCTGTTGTCTCTCAGGGAGGCGTTGGGGTATCTGACTCTATTCAGTGACTTTAGGTCCCAAAGTAAAAGTTAAAACATGGGGCAGGGCCAGGTCCTCGTCATTATACTATCCTCGGGGCCAGCATGGTGACTGACACAAAGTATGTGTTTGGTAAAGATGTATTAGATGGATCAAAGGAAAGGAGAAAGTTCTTCCAGTTCCTTCATGCTCAGGCACCTCTTAGTCATTTGGATGATTTTCACCCTGTTTTCTGTTGTAGATTCGTATCTGTCCAGGCTAATATCATCCTGCCTAGAAACCAAGGTTGAATGAAATGACCCCTAGTCCTTTGGGATTCTGAGGGTGGGGGCTACACTCATGCATCCTCCTCACTCAGGATTGCACCACTTGTGTGGGGATGCTCAGAGCTCAGTTCATGCTGTAGAAGCTGGCTGCTCACTCCTCCACCTCCCCGCCAGCCACCTCATCGTTAGGAGGCTCTATCTGAGCCGTCTTCCCTGGATTCCATAGAGCAACCCCAGATGTTTCCAGCCGGTGTCTGGTTGGGGCTCAAGTGTGCTGACACTGGCGTGTACCAGCTTCCCAAAACCAATTATTAGCATCTCTTCCTAACTCTGTGGTCGGTGACATCATGTTGGTAGATTGAAAGTGGCCATGGTAGGAGTATTTGACAAACATGACACACCAGAGTGTCTCTTTCTTCCAAGAACCAGTCGTTAAACATTTACCAGCCCACTACTGGAGAGGGGGTTTCAGGCAAATGTCCCAGCTGATTTCAACCATGAGAAACCTTGACCATAACCTCTTCTGTGAGAAGCAGGGTTTCCTCAAATCAAAGTCAGAGGTAAAGGCAGTTACTTTGGGGGATCTGAAAGGAGTGCACAGTCACAGAAGGCCAGGCCTGCAGCCCCTGCCAGGGTGTGAGCTCCAGAGGGCTCCGGGGCACATTGCCAGGACCTTTGAGAGGGCCAGTTCTGCTGATTGTCACTGAGGAGGAAGGGGAGAGGTGAAGAGCATGCCCTGGGGACCGGCCTCCTGGGCATATGGTCAGTCTCCATTTCTCTGACCTCCCCAGGCACCCAGTAGTAAGTCCTTCACTCACCCAGCTCTTTCTTCTCTCCCTCTCAGACCCAGAGTCCCAGAGAAAAAGGACAGTGCAGAATGTCCTAGATCTTCGACAGAACCTGGAAGAGACCATGTCCAGCCTGCGAGGGTCCCAGGTGTCTCACAGGTAAGCTCGAGCTGCAGAGGGAGTTATGTCCACTGCATGCAAGGTTCTTCGGAGCTCCACGGAGCTGAGGGGAGAGGAGAGTCCATTCATCCCAATAAAAGAAGCTTGGTTTTCTCTTGTATCTGCTTGTGCTTGAGCATTAAATTTTATTTAAGCAAATCAACTTGAAAGTCTCTAGGCTGGGCGTAGTAGCTCAAGCCTGGAATCCCAGCACTTTGGGAGGCCAAGGTGAGCGGATTGCCTGAGTCCACGGATTCAAAAACAGCCTGGGCAACTTGGTGAGACCTCATCTCTACACTAAATCAAAAAAATTAGCCGTGCATGGTAGCCCTCGCTTATAGTTCTGGCTACTTGGAAGGCTGAGGCAGAAGAATTACCTGAGCCCAGCAAGTTGACGCTGGGGTGGCTGTGAGTGTACCACTGCACTTCAGCCTGGGCAATGGAGTGCGACTCCAACTCAAAAAAAAAGGCCGGGCTCGGTGGTTCAGCCTGTAATCCCAGCACTTTGGGAGGCCAAGGAGAGTGAATTTCCTGAGCCCGAGGATTCGAGACCCACCCGGGCAACTTGGCGAGACCTTGTCTCTATAATAAATGAAAAATTAGCTGGGCATGGTAGCAGGCACCTGTAGTTGCAGCTACTTGGAAGGCTGAGGTGGAAGGATCGCCGGAGCCCAAAAAGCATGCCACTGCACTCCAGCCCTGGATGACAGAGTGAGACTCTAACTCAAAAAAAAAGAAAAGAAAAGAAAAAGTCTCTAGCCTGGGGATTGGGAGCAGAAGCCATTACATTACTCAGTGCATGATCTTCGGTTCTCACTTTTCCTCCTTCGGTCTCTGTCTCCTCACCTCTCAAGAGTGGGTTACTAAATGCTCCCCTCCTGTTCCAAAGTCTATATTGTTTTGGATTCTAGAATTGGTGCTCTTCTCCACACCTGGACTCTGTCAATTAGGTGCCCTCTTGCCTCTTCCTCTAGTCCCTGAGGAAGACTTGAGTGCTCAGCAGGGCCCACACAGTGTCACCCAGCTCCATGCCCTGTAGGTGTGTCCCTCCAGCTCACTCCTTGCAGAGACCTCAGCCTCCAGCTGCGCGGGGCATGCACCCCTCCCACAGCACCTCTCTCTGGAGCAACCTCCTGGCCACAGCCTCTGCTGTGACTCAGAATTTCCCATGCTTGCTCCTTGGGCTGCCCAGATGAGCTCATGCTGTCAGCTCCAAGGAGGGTAGAGGGCTGGGCTAAGCTCTGGGGGTAGAGGGAGGGAGAACAGACAGCCAGGGTTGGGAAATCATGGGGGGTGTGGGACAGGAAGGCTGTTTGAGGGATAGGAAATTCCCCCAGTTGGACTGGAAGTGATTCTTCCCCATCTCCTAAGGTTGAAAAACTGAGGACACAGTTGGGACATAAGGGCAATGGAAAAGAGCTTTACCTAACCCAGTGTGTGGCCAAACCAACTAGTGTCCAGACACGTTTACATACTTCCAGTGACAGAAAACCAAGCAGTGTCCAGACACATTTACATACTTCCGACGGCAGAAAACTCACCACCTCTCAATCATCCCACTGCACCGTGGGAGCGCAGTGACTGCACTTAGGAACTATACTTGGTCTTCATGGTCTGTCATCCATTGGCTCTAGTTCTTCCGACTTAGACTACCCTTCTCCTTCCTTGCACTGTTTCTCCCCTACCCCACCCCATACCCCCTCTCAGACACTCAGCCCCTACTCCCAGACATCTAGGATATTTTAAATGATAAGATAAACCAAAGTTCCTACTCTCTGGGATTATCTCTGCTCAGGCCTGCAGGACCTTCACTATTGAAAGGGGAGGTGATCAAGGTCTCAGAAAAAAGTGGATGGGAGGGCTCAGGACCCCTTCCATCTGTCCCCCATCTCCATCCCTCATAGCCCCAAATCCTGAGCAGGAAACCAAGTGGGACTGGCACAGCTTAGTTCATCACTTTAGGGACCCAGTGGATAAAATCTGGAACATCTTTCTTCCTCCCATCCAAGGGAGCTGTTGGAACATCTCTCAGCACCCAGTCACCCGCTAGCCTCATGCCAAAGAAGCCAGAAAGTGCTTAGTTGCTGAGAGGGTCACACCCCAAATGACTCACCCACAGGGAAGGGCAGAAGTAGCAGCTCCAGCTTCCTGGTGCCACTGACGCTGAGCAGCCAGCCCCCAGGCCCCCCAGTTAGGCAGGCACCATTTGTCTTCTGCTTCTGGTGGGGAAGGGCAGGCCTAAATAAGGCCTTTTGCATAAAACTGTCTGAGTTGGAGGGAGGGCCTGGTCCCCTGTCTTCTATCTTTCTTTACCGGAAAGAAACCAAGAGCCCTGAAGCTCGTTTTTTTGTTTACTGTGGACCCAAAGCCACTTCCTCTCTTAGACTTTGGTTTATATTATTCCTTTTCCACACTTTAATAGTCAAAACAATGATTCCCTGATTTTTTTTTAATGTCTCTTTTACTTTTTTTTTTTTTAATGCAGAGTTTATTTATTTATTTTTATTTTTTTATTTTTTGAGTTGGAGTCTCACTCCGTTACCCAGACTGGAGTGCCGTGGCCGCTCCTGGCCACCGCAGCCTCGACCCACTGGGCTCCGGCGATCCTTCCGCCTCAGCCTTCCGAGTAGCCGGAATTACAGGCACATGCTACCACGCCCGGCTAATTTTTTGATTTATTGTAGAGATGAGGTCTTGCCTGCCCAGGCGGGTCACGAACCCGTGGGCTCAGGCAATCCACTCACCTCAGCCTCCCAAAGCATGGGATTACAGGCTGAGCCACTGAGCCTGGCTAAAGTGAATTATTTTTAAGGAAACTGAAAAAAGATATATATAACAAGCAGCTATATTTAACTACTTGATCACAAATATTAGGATCAGAAAAATCAAAACATATGAGTTGGAAAGAACTCTAGAAACGATCTAATATTGCATTTTATAATATACAAGATACAGAAAGGTAAAGTGAAGTACCTTACTCACTGTGACACAGCTAAGACATTGTGGACATTTAACAGGCAATAAATAATGTGGTACCTAAATTAGCCATAGAAGTTCAATTTAAACAATAGATCAAAAGCAACTTTCCCATAGAAGTAATGGCTAAAAAAAGAAATTCATTATGTCCTTTCTAGAGGACAGGTTATAACAGTTAACTGCTGCTATGAACACTAAGAAATCAGTTCAACTGTGGAAAAAATTGTGTGAGAAGCACAGGAGAGCAAGAGCTACATTGGGCAAATCATGGAAAGAGCTAACTCCAATCCTGTCCCAACTCTCACATGTAAAAAGTTGAAGGCTATGATTCTAATATAGGCTTTTAGGGTTTCTTGATGTCACAGCTTCTCGAAGAACAAAACGGATACTTTTTCAACATGAGGCAAGGTCAAATCATAAGTAGTTAACACGTGAGAATTTTACAGTAAAAATAAACTAACATAACCCCCATTGAAACTCCATCTCAAAAAAAAAAAAAAAAGAAAGAAAGAAAGAAAACAA